TTTAACTTGAAGAAATTTTTGTATCGTTTTAGTTTCATTCAAATTCGGTTTCAGTTATTCGCACTATAACTACATGACTATATCAGTGTCATGAGATTCATCACTTATATTTTTACCAATTCAATTCTACTTACATTTCGTTTATGTACATCAAATTTTTTAAATAAAATAAAGTAAGCAAACCTCTGAGGAATCTTTGCCACTTAATTCCTCAGCTAGCGATGGCTTTGGATCTTGATTAAATTTTTCTAGTAAATTCTGACCGGCTTCAATAGATTCATGAATTAACTGCGCTTGTAAATCTTCATTTTGCCTTTTCAGCTCTTTGTTTTCTTTACGATAACGATTTATTTCATGCTCTAATGATATTATCTGTAAACATACACTGAGTAACGTCAGAGACAACTTGATAAATTTATGAAAATATGAAACTAAAACACACATCAACTTTATTAATTTGAAAGCTTTTAAAAACATATCAAATCCTAACAAATGCTAACATAAAATATGAAACGTAAAGAAAAGCGTAAATTTGGACTGTATGAGAAATGTTAGTATAATTCACAAGAATCTTGGACTGCACAAAAATGAGAAGTAAAAAGTTAGTTAAATAAGCATTTATAGATCAAGTAAAAATGCATGATACCTGTTCTGTAACCGAAGCTCGAGGTAATATTTCATTTTTCTGTCGTCTTAGTTCATCTGTTTGTCTCGACAATTCTTCCACTAACTCTGAGTTGCTATCAATATCTTGCTGTGCTTCTTCACGAAATCTACATTTAAGTGGACATATTTTTGCGCAACATATGAAACAATATTTTCTTCCACGATGATAATTAGTGCGATCAGTAATACAAAACTATTAATATGAGTCGTAAATCTAACGCGAAATTGTTGATGCACAAGAAACTTCTTAATTGCTTCTTATTTCCTTCACATCAAACATTGAAAATTCTTAAAATTCTAAGAAATCATCCAAGCTTTAATTCACTACATGAAAATGATACATACTTTTATGAAAAGAAAATAATTTGTTATAATCAATGCTACATCGTAAGCAATATTTGTCACAATCAAGTTGAATGGTCTCAAAAGTAGTTATTTTCAATAAATGTTTGATACGATAATCAGTTTACCTCTTAAATTCTTTCTCAGTTTTAAGTCGTGCTTCTTCCAGTGTTTCGCATATAGCATTAGCTTCAGTAAGCTGATCTTTCACGTTATCGAAATGAACTTGTAGACTAAGTAAATCATTGTGCAACTTATCATTTTCCTTTCTTAATCCCAGGTAATCCTTTTCCAACACCTGATGAAGGCAAAATTTCCATAATTGGTTCGAAATTTTTTATATTTTCAGTCAATGATATCTCCGAAAGATAAACTCAATAAAACACAGCACCTGAAAATGGTCTAATCCTTTCTTATATTTATTCAATCATATGAAATTTGATTTGAATAAATGTAAGTATAGGCCATTTTCAAGAGCTGGAACAGATTTCGGGTTCTCTAAAAAATGGAAAAAGAACAAAACAAACCTAATTTAGCACTAACTACTTATCAATAAAATTAATTTCTACATAATGAATTAGAAAATAATTCAATGCTTGATTTACAAGTTCCAAACCTAGTAGGTTATTCATATTTTGGCATCTTCTAACCATTTTTCAACCATATTTATTTGTTCATGTTAGCTAGCAGCAGCAAATCGTCATTAGGAACGTGGTAGGAAAGAATTAGGTTTGATGATAAATGTTTTTTAGTGATTAAGAATCGAAGCATGATGAACAGTAAATCAAATATACCTGATATTTTAAAGCAGCTCCTTCTATTTCAAGTTGTTTCTCACGCTCCATCCTGGCTATGATATCACGATTTCTACTTTTTTCTTCTATTAGTTTCTCTTTCCACCTGAGAATACATAAATATGAAAACAACGCTAATAATTTTTATCGAAATCATTCCAGAGCTGTCATTTATCAATTTATACTTTATGTTGTTTGAAAAGAAAATAAATTAAATGACATAATAAAAATAAGCCTGCCCTGGATTACACAATATTCAGAGAGAACTTCAAAACACGATGCGTTCTCAACTTTGCACGCATATACAATACATTCCTTAATTCTCTCATCTAGCCTTGCAGCTGGAATTACCAATTCATTCTTTCTCAACTAGAGTCAAAATGCAATATAATTTAGAATAATAATGCTCATGAAAAACATATCAATCATTTTAAATGTGCTGAAAGCTAATGAAAATCCGAATTTAAAATTAATAATACTTTATTTTTTTAAATAAGGTCGATATTTTTTAAATAAGGTTTCATTAGTAACTTTGAAAATAAAGAGCTTGCAAAGACCTACAATAATCTCATCTTCAAAAATTTTTAAATGATTTGAAACTCTCTTTAGCCCACATTGGCACAAGGATCCAATTTCAGGTTTCACAACAATTTCTGTAAATTTATTGACATTTTACTCATCGAAAAAAAAAATACAGAATAAATGTTACAATTTTCAAAGTTACTACAGAAAGCTTATTTAGAAAGCAGACTTAACGTCAAAATTCTGCAATACTTTAGATTGAAACTGCTGCAAACTTTTTGTATAGCTACTGAAAAGTGAAGTAGCTGACATAATTTCCAAAATTTCAAAAATATTTTAGTGGTCCTTAAAATGCATAATTTCATAATTTGCGTAGAAAAATAAAGAAAACGAAGTAGAGGTCCCAAAATATTGTTTTTAATACATTTGTAGTTATAACAGCGATCATTAATAGATGAGATCTGATAAAAATGATTCAAACAAGTAAAATTTAAGATAATTTCACTCATACTTTTAGAAATGAATTCATAATTCTGCTACACAAGAAACTGCAACATATAATCAAAACCTGATCCTCACAACTTCTTTGTTTGATGGCAAATTACTTTTTACAAGATTTGCAAATAATTATGCCTTATATTCTCACGAAAATAAAACCTATGTTCAGCAGCTTCTAATTGCTCTTCCAAAATATGTACACGTTCAGTGAGAATTGCATTATCAGCTCGTAACCTTGCCTTTTCTTCTCCAGTGCTCATTCGTTCTTCTTCCAGATCATTAACTTTTTTAGAGAGTGATGTGACCTATGAAAACAATTCATGATTTTCGACATTCAGCAGTAAAATTTTGCCATTAAAAATCAAGAGGTACAAATAGCTCATTAATTTCTATGAGTTTCATATTAAATGTTCAAGTTTAATTAAATTTTTTTCCAAATCTTTTCAAACATTAGAATTGGCGAACAAATTTTTACAATCATATTTTTTGAAATTCATAACAAAGAATAATTATGCTTTGACCGATTTCATTTGTGATTGTTTATTGATGAAGTTATATGTGTAAAATATTTTTTCAATTTCTCATTTCCAAAAATCGTTGTTAGTTTCCATCTCAATTTCCACCTATTCTTATCTAGCAGCAATGAGAATGTGAGGAAGCCAAAGAAAGATAACGCGAAATTTTTACAAACACAATAAAAACACAGATTTATCTTCGTAAAATTTAACAAAAAATTCGAATCTAGAAACTAAATTATTAATTAGCAAATGCCATTAAGACCTGTGTAATTACTTTTCATGCTAACATCTGACACGAAAGTCGAATTAAGTTTTCAAGTGATTCTGAAAATTAATTTGTATCTATCATTAATGATGCTTGTTACAGAAGTACTTATTTGACATCAATTCTAAACATAGAGAAATACTAAACTAATAGTTTCTTCTAAATGTAAACCAGAACAATGAATTCGTTGGCACCTAGCAAATATGGCAGTCGAAAAGCATATGATTTATTACATTAGGTATTATTAGTTTTTTGAATAAAATAGCCGATTACGCCTCGCTAAACTTGCAACCTATAGAAAATGAATAATTTGCCAAGTGAAGAATACTTTACTATGATACAAATACTCTATACCAGTTTTGAAAAAGTAAACGTATATACAATGATGATTTAACAATTACACAAGCAAAATCCGTACGGATTTATGTGATAAAATGAGTACATATTAATTCAAAAACAATTTATTTTATAATAATACCTGACTGCAAATTTCATTCAGTTCATGAATTGACGTTTCATTATCACTAAAATTCATCAATTCAGGCTCACTACCAAAGCTGCCACGTCGAGATCCACGAGTACCGTTTGTATATAGACGTGATGCAACTGAAGCAGAGCTAGAACTATTATTTAAACGCATCGAATTCAGGAGTTCCTGAAAACTGGCATGATTTATTTATTTATTAAGAACTACATTCATGTAAATTGCCTTTAGCCTGTCCTAATTCGATTTTCCGAATCCTTTACGTCTTTTTTAAGTAAGCAGTTAAAAGCTGGAAACTGACTTCTGAATTTTATTGCATGTTTGAATGAAATAAAATCTATATGCCAAAATTTTGTTCCCAGCATCGAATTTGGAAAATATGTTTTGAGAAAATTTAATTTCAAGCAAAATTTTTAAAATAATAGAAACATCGAAAGAAACAAAATTTTAATCAGTGAGTTAAAGTCAGTATCATTTTTAATATTCACCTGCTTTTGCTTAATGTTAAAATGTCATAGATTAAACATACCTGCTGAAACTTAATATTAGGACTAGCTATGCGATCTGAAATAATCATTATAGTGTGAGCTCTTTTGAAAATTAGACATAATTTCTTAAAACTTCTGGCTTAAAATATTAACTACTTCAACGTTGATCAAAATAACCATAATTAATTTACAAATAAGCCGAAATAAACATTTAGTATCAATTGGCTTTTCACGATTTTCAGATAATATGAGATACAAGGACAGACATTCGATAAGCGATCAAAAAGCAAAAGTTTCAAAGATGTATTTGGAAATGGAAAAGTGAAGTTAACACTTCTAACATCTGGTATTATTATACTTTCATGTTTTATTTGTAAATTTTCGAAACAGATACGACACAAAGTAGTAATACTTGACAGCACTACATATGCATCTATGAAAAAGTTCTTAAGCATTTCGTTTACTTTAGTCATTCCGTGGTGAAAAATCAGAAATGTAGCTATTTTTGGGAAAAAAGGAGAGGGGAGCGTTTTAAGTTGCAATTTTTAAGACTATCGGCATCATTTTTTAGCCTTTTTCCTATCACTGAAAACTAGAAGGAAATGAAAATATGTCTGTTAAGAAGGGATAAAATAGAAGATCAGAAATCTACGAAATTTTTAAACAGCCAAGAACTTGAGACAAACCTTCATAATTCTAATGACAATAATTACTTTAGGCACCGATATTTAGACAAATATAAATATTACTTATTACAAAAAACAATCATGTTACCGGTATTGAAGAAAGAGAAGGCTTCCTGTAATGTGAAAATTATATCCTACTGCTTCGATTATTTATGAGTTATTAGCGAACAGAAACTAGTCACAGGTATGAATAAATATTTGAAAGTCATGAGTGTCACAACAATAAATAAAATGACTACAATGCTTAAAATAAAATTAGCAATGTACTTTTGAAATTAGTTTCAGCTTTTGCATGAACGAAAAAAACAAATTTCTGATATTTCATAAATGTTCCCCACTGATCGTAATTATGTCAAAAATAGAGAATACTATCTATAAAGTTCCATTAATATTTGACTTCAAAAGCAATCAGAAATATAGGTATTTTTGGGAAAAAAGGAGAGTACAGCGTTTGACTGCTGTTACTTTAGATTACAATTTTTGGGAAGCTATCACATTTTTGTAGTGAAAAAAAAATAAGTAAATAGTAATCCTGTCACAATAACCATCAAGTTTTTAGTTTTATATCTTATAAAGTACTCACAAATTAAAATCAAGGACCTGGAAAGCTGTTTACTTTCATCCTTTTATAACGAAAATCTTTACTTATTTATTTATTTATTTTTCTCTTTACTTATTTATCTTCAAAAGAATTATGTGAGGTTCAATACAGTAATTTAGCTGATACAATCTTCCTGTTGCACCATTCTTTGCAATATTTGCACAATCAGAATAAAGTATGGCAAAGTTTTTTGTTCGTATGAACGGAAATTAGTTGAGCAAAAACCATTTACAAAGAAAGGCAATAATTACATGTTGCCAATAGTGAGATTGAAAACTATAAATAAGCCTTCGATTTTTATGTAAGATTTGAGTTTAGGCCATATTTTATCGACTATTCACAATTTGGAATGTTAAGTGTTAAGCAAAGATCGAAATCTGAAGTGTAAAGAAATGAGCAAAAAACAAAAACTAAAAAAACAGCAAATGAAATGGCAGCCGACAACTACTGCACAATTTTGGAGGAAGTAAAAGTTTTGCTCTTAGCTAATTAAACTGTAAAGGTAAATCACAAAATTTTGTACACTAAGTTCTAACCATTTGAAACATCATATTACTTCAATTATAAATTAAATAAAATCTAATCACGAAGTAACGTAATCATTTGTATTAAAATTAAAAAAGAAATGTTGAAAACTTGTAATGCCTGACAATTTCCTTGCTAGAAAATGTTATATATATATATGCCTGTTCTTGGACGAAACAACATTTTTACGTAATTTGTTTCTACTCTTTTCCCTGCTCTACTTCTATTATGTGATGTTATGATGCAATGATGGAAATGAATGGCGAAAATACCAGTACGAGCAGCTGCGACAACGATCGGAATGATATCGATAGTCAACGACGCCAGAACGGTGGATATGGTAGCAGTACGAGAGAACATTCCAGCAGACCAGTAGATCGGTTAACTACTAATGGCTGGGAACGAGTCTCTGAAGGACCTTTCACATCACAGGCAACTTCTAAGAGGCGAAAAGGAACGACAGACCATAGCGACAATGCTCATGCCATCCCTTTTGCAGCACTTCTGAAGAAACGAAGACGCAACAAGGGAAGAAAGCGAAGATTAACACGCATGGCACAATGTAGCGGAAGAAAAGCCCGTTGCAAAACGAGATGTAAATCGAAAAGAGGAAGACTGTGTGGTCGTACAGTCAGCATGTCTGAAGTTCAGGAAGAAAATGGAGGGTGAACATTTGGAATCGTAGTGGAGAACAATGGGAAAGCAGATGAGGTTATGAAAAGCTCCGTTAAAAATGTCGGAGAGCACTTTGCCAGCTTACCGGAATCGAGAACCAGTAGGATGATTACACTTAAAGTTATCATTCGAGGAGTTGAGGTTCCGCAAAGCAGCTGGCCAGGTAAGTGCTGAAAGTGGTTCTTGACCGTTTCGGAAGGATGCCACGAGGGGGATGGCCGTTCTGTCGTTCCCTGTATTGCGATAAATTTGTGTGCGCGACTAAGCTTGAAGAACAAAAGCGAATGCTGCAGTCATCAGTAATGCAGGACGTCCGTGTTCGCAGAAACGGTTCTTGAATGAATCAACGAAACGTATCAAAATACAAGATACGTATTTAGAGTAAAACACGCTGCACGAGTTAATGGTTTATTTAGATGTAAACGAGAAATACTTAATGTTGATGCAAGAAACACAGGGACGTGAGATAGACCAGATCAAGTGGACACGAAATATAATCTAGGAGAAAGTTGACCCGCTTATACTTGAGTGGTAAACCAAGCAGCAGGTGAATATGCCACACAGAATTCGCCCAAGTTAATGACTGATCTTGCAAGGCAGTTCCAGGTGGCACAACAAAGCTACGAAGAGATGACAAGGCGTGAAAAGAAGCCATTGATATGAAAGGAGGGCATGAAAAAAAAAAGTAAAAATCACTTCCACAAAACACTCATAAAACGATATTTGGGCGGTGAAGCACTTGAAGGTAAAAACCTCACGGAGGCAAAAAAGTGGATGAGAGAGACTTGAATCTCATACCTGCTCTTAAATGTGACTGTCATGAGGCCTTAAGCATGCTAACAGAACGGATGAGTTTACGAAAATAAAATAAAAAGTTATGAGGTTCGATATGTTATCAAAATTCAACACACCAGATTTGAGTTATTCAGAAGGCGGTTTCATAGAGAACTAACTGAGGAACAACCTGTTAGCCACATTGTAGGAACGGAAAAAATCAGAGAGCTCTGGGCCATGATGTGGCCCAGAACTCTCTGAGGAACAACCTGTTAGCCACATCATGGCCCAGTACCACCAATGCCACTCATCTACTTACACTACTGTCAACTGCTGTTATCAGCACAAACTATTATCATCATTACCAGCAGTAAGCATCATTTGTTGGTTATCGAGTGTACCTTGGAGAAAACCTGATTGAAATAAATATCGGCTGGGAATAAATGAAAAACAATCAGCAAAGAGCTAAAGCAAGGATAAGTAAACATGAAATCATTTAACGAATCAATCTAATCTAATCTATCAACCTAATTACGTCACATGAATGAATTAAATGGAACTAAACTAATCGTTCACTGAGAGTAGCTATCAAACATAAGTAATTGTCAGCTCAATTCACTGCATTTTAGCTACTTCTAGCTGTTTGATCACTAATTATTTACCTGGTTGACTGATGTAAATGACGAAACCATACATATTTTCAAATCAGTGTCTGACTTCTCGTAATATAAAGTTCATTTGGTGAATCTCCTATACTGTTCACAAAAGAGCTGTTTTCTTTGCTAAAACTATATATGAGCAACAAATGAGTTGGTTTATAAACAAGCTAATCTCTGCGTGATCCGTGTTTGACAACCCAGATTGATATCACCATTGATCGCCTAAGTTAACTCATTAGCAAAGGTAATTGTAAGGCGGTCAACAGAGCATTAATCGTGCTGCAATGACAAGAACTAATCTTTATGGTAATGATCAGCTTAATTGCACCAATATACACGAATTTTACAAGCGACAAAGTTGAAAAGGACTGATTTAAAATTCCACTATTCTGATATAGAATGTTCATCATGATATCCAACAATTTAATTTAGTTCTAAGGGAAAACTGCAGTAGTAAAACAAGAAAATTAAAATGAACATTAAAAAAATCTACGTTGTAAAAATCGAAGTATACGAGGACTGGGAATTTAAAAATCCATTAGAGAGCCAAGAGAAAGTGTAGTACAGATTGTTCCATTTCCAATGTTTTCACGAAAAATGTTTGGTTGATTTTTAAATGAGGTAAAAAAATAGTTGGATGTGTGAGTCCTTGAATCTGATGCCAAAACAAGATGTCGTGAAAAATTTCGCGATCAAAATAAAGCAAAATGCTTCACTTAAGAAGAATTTTGAGTGTGAAAGTTTTGAACTGATTCAATGATAACGAATCACTTCGAAAAAAATTTGGCATAACGATGAGTTGTCGCAATTTTGAAAGCAATGCATGCATGTCTCGCACAAAAATATCATAAATAATTTCAAATAATCAATGAATTAATATAATTATATATAACAGTACGAAGTATTTTCTTTCTCATGTTGAATGGCATCAAAACAACTGGGCATTTTTCAGGGTAATGACATACGATAACAAAAGCAAAGCCATGATGTAATTATATCTCTTCCTGATTTTTGAAAATCATAACATATTTTGAATCATTATTTAACAGATAACAAAAGAAATGCATTACGATATATCTTAATTTCTTCAAGTAACTTTGCTGCTTGAAATGAATTATTTATTGCAGCGTACCAAAATTTTTTCTAGTCAGTCAACAAAATTATGAATAATAGCTACGCCGAATCACGTCAAAATGTTATAATCAGTTGTCGAGTGAACGGAGATTATTATGAGCTGTCGCTTAAGTGCTTATAATTTTGATTATTGAACGTTAACGAAATGACAGATTTCAAAATGTACTAAGATAACTCTGAATATTTCAAGTTCTAAAGACATTAGATTCCAAAAATTTTGGCTAAAATCGTGGTTGAAATTAGAAAATCATAAAAATGTTGATTTTGATTGAAGGAAAACACTTGCAGCGTTTCCTCTTAGAACACTATATAACTAGTATAACTTCAAACTGAAGTAAGTTTTATAATTTTAACAATGAGTGCTGTAATTAACTGAGAATAATAGTAATGACCATATTTAAAAACCACAATAACATTATAGTATTTTTACTAATGAGTGTGAAATTTATTAATGCTTGGTTACTGAAAAACCAAAATTACGAAAAAGTACACTGTGAAACTGCAGAAATCTGATTCCGATTTGATAACCACATTAAATTAGACAGAAATGCGGTTAAGAATAATAATACCGAAAGCACTAATTAGATGATTATAAAAGCAATAAATGCAATGATATTAAGAGAATTATAATCTCAAATTTGACATCTTCACTGGTTCAGAAACGGATCTGAATTATTTTTTTTTTAAAAATTGAGAAAAATGGAGAGAATAGTTGTTTGAATATCAACGCATAAAAATCAAATCAAGTCATATTTGATATGAATGTCAAACATTCTACAGTTTCTTTCAATATTTTGAGATCACCGCAATAAATTTTCTGATATTGCACCAAAAAATAACATGCTTGATTCTTCACTAAAATCACTTATTCTTGAGTTTTTTGCTGAATCTGCAATAATATTAATGAAGTCTGCGGAAAACTACAGTGTAATTAATAAGATAATCAGCTATTCCTCTCAATAAAATCAAAAGAATAAAATACTCATGAAACTATGTAATTTGTGCAATCGAAGAAATCAGTGTTGAACGACATCAAATTTTTCACCTCTGAAACCCTACTGATTTTAAGAAAATTTTCACTAGACCCTTGCAAATATTTTGGATGCAAATGACATAATTTAAGTTGTGATTTTAAATTTGCTCCATTCTAATTTTCTTTTGTTTTTGTGCCTGAAAAAAATGCATGATTAAGCAAGAGAAATGTACAAAAAAGAACTAAGCCATCAAATTTTTCGGTAATATTACAAGAAAAGTCACGTGATTATTCTCCACTAAATCAGTAATATGTAGACCAATTGACTACTTTGAATTATATGAATTAGAAAAAAATCTGATTAACAGTTACAAAGCTTTTTAGCAGTGCCATTTGCAGGTTAAATTACGATAAATTTGTGTAAGGAAACTAATTAGAATGCAGTTGCTGCGATTAGTGCATTTTTGTTAATCCGAAAACACCTAAAATGACAAAAAGATATCATTTTGCTCCTCTAAAATTATTTCGAATACGTCAACACTTCCAAAATGATCGTAATCAAGTAAGTGAAGCTCATATTAAAACTGTCAGGGTAGTAAGCATAAATCGCAAACTGAACCAAATTCAAGTTGTTCCTAAATTAAAGTTTCAATCAGTAGTTATTGATAATATGATTTTACGACTACTAAATTAAGTTCATATTAGAAGATCAATACATATAGCACAAAAAATTGGGGAAATTTTAAGTAAATTAAAACATTATCTAAAGTTTCAACAAATAAATTGAGTAGTCCGTAAAATTTTTTCATATTCTTTTGAAATACAGCAGATGCAAAATGAAAATAACTTTAGTTTTTGAAATGGAAATGTAACAAATAATACATATCTGAAAAATGTAATTAATTTTCTCAGTGAATATACAAATATATCAATTTTTAAAATGAAAAACCAGTAAAGTTATGACAAGTCACCTAAAAGTAAATAGAAAAGCATGACGGCGCATTAAAAATGAATACTATTGAAAAAATTAAAGTGACGTTGGAAATGATTAATGATTTCTAAGAAAATACATTAAAAATAACTACAGAAACCTTTAAATCTTAGTTTACCTTACCATTCATAAGCATTGGAGTTCTACTAAGAGAAAACTTTATTCACCCATTACATCATTCGTAACTGATTTAAATAAAATGATGATATACCAACCATTATGAACGAAAAACTGGTTCCACACAAAGTTAAGATAAAAACAATCCTTATCACAACTTTCGGTTGCTGATAATCTTGATAACTTTGGCAGACTACAATATGGAAAAAGATAATATGCTACATATACTGATGACGACAGTTATAATAGTAATAAATAACTGAAAGCTTCAATCACGATTACTGAGATCTGAGCACATTTACAAATGTTCAGATGGCAAATAATTTCCAAATTCTGGAATGGCCTTCCTCATAAATTTATTTAAAAAAAAGAAGAATAAACACCTATACAAACCGTTTTACCAAAACACAAACAATTTCGCCATTTATTCAGCATAACCCCTAGATCTTAAGCAATACGATATATTATCATGATTTTTCAAATCCAATTCCTCGATTAGAGAAATTTGATTTAATACTGGAATCCTAAAATTTAAATTCAAAGTCGATAATATAATTCTATGATGTAAAAGTAAGGATGTAAGACTGAAATCTCCTTTTTTAAACTATTATAGTTTTATTCTGGTAAATTCAGTGTTTTATTACTGCAAACAAAGTATAAAAAACTTTTTGTCCCATGAAGAACCCGATGTCAAGTCAATTACTAATCAAGTTTCCTGGGAGCTAAAACATCATTAATTTATTATAAAATCATCTTTTTTTATAAAATAGATTTGAATGCAGTTCGGAAGATTCGAATTTGAGAAAAAAAAAACTAATGCATTAACTAATAATAATTACAGAGTGATAAAGAAGAAATTTACAAGTTTATGTTTACGCAAACTAGATTTAGGTGGTTATCGAGAAAAAATAAATTACAACCAATGCTTTGCTACTTCATGAAGGATAAATTGTATACTGTTCATAACAACGAAAGAAAGTAAGCTGACTCTTAAAACTATCAGAAGCAGCAGAGACAGAAGTAGTGGCTTAAAAGTCAAAACCATCCTAGCTGTAAATGGCTGCCCAACAACTTACTTTAAAACTGATTTCAAAAAATTATCAGTAAAAGAGAGCCATTTCTAGGAATCAGCTAGATCAATTTTTGAACAAACAAACGTTTGCAGTGGTTATTTGCAATTTAAAAAGGTGTGTCTGATAGAACGTCATACAAATGGTGGATTAAGAATATTTATCAGCTTCCACAGATTTATTCCTAAATCAGTGGAAGCTGAAAAATATAAAGAAACACAATTTATCTATTTGCTGAGAACTATGATGTTCTGAAAGTATTTTTTGAAATTTCAAATTTTACTTCTGAGAAAACTAACATCAAAGTGAAAAACCGC